CATCGTTTCATCTTCGCTTCACACGGACTCACGACACTTCTTTACAAACGTATTCGTTCACCATATCAACGGCTACATTATACCAACGACTGCATATAGACCAGTAAATGCAAGCTGTTGCGAACCCGGTAACGTTATCACAATTTACGCGGTACACTTCCGCAAAACTCACTGCAGTACATTATGCATTGCTGTGCAGATGCTGATTCTAACTTCATCATTAAGGACGATCAACTGCAGTTAATAGGTAATTCGGCCACACCCACCGATTACTAACGCATTGCTCCATGATAGCGCGCAGTGAAGCACCGCACGCATTATTTCACCTAGGCAATATTATCCACAATCGATCACACGTAGACACCACTAAACATAGGTCAAACCAAGTGAGGTTAACGGACTTGTCTGCTAGATTGCATGCAGCTACCTTCAGTGAAGGCAATCGATACTGTCTCATTGTGGAGCGCACTTCAGGTCCGGTCGTCTATGCGCAACAGTGAGCACTATGAACGCGGATGGAATATCTCCGGCCCCCCAGTTCTTTGTTGTGTGTCTTGATGCAGAATAAGTGAGTGGGTGAGAGTTACAGTACTTCCTCAACCTTCCATAGATGCCGCGTGCTAGTCCGCACCTCATCCTTTAGTGAATGAGCTCATGTGTTGTTTTCACGTCCGCGTGTGCATCATGTGATTTGTTGGCTGAGCGCAGTCTACTCGCTGCACCATCAGATGCAGATGTTCTGAGTACTCTGGCACTGATTGCAATTGGTCAAGACGATGGGCACGCATTTGCGCCAGCGCGCCACTTAGATTCAACATGATGTGCTTGTGGGTTGAGTTCAATATGCTTAAAGAGGAGCTTGATTCCGTTATGGATTGACTTGAGTCGTAAAAGGTATAGTGGTCTTGTGTCATCGTTAGCACAGTTGCCCAGCCACTCTGTGCAGTCAGGCCAATACTGTACTCCAGGGTAAACGACCACACTGCTGTTCCTACATCCTAGGCCAAACCGATTCTGCCTTGTCTGTCCAGCCGTGGTCAGCTATCACGAGCCTCGGTTTCCGTCCGTTGGTCCTACTTGGGTTACACACATTCAAGCTTCCAGCTACCATCACAAACGGTAGAGGAAGACAGCAGGAATCCCAAAACGGTCTAAAACCGGTCATTTATCACGTCAGACCATGGAAGAGACACATGCCTGCCGAGATCGCTACCTCCTCTGTACGGTGGAAATCCAGGAATTGGTAAACAATTGGCGTAGCACACAGACTTTGGAGCTCCATTGCCGTTTTTAGCAAGTCCCATGATCGCCATGAGTGATGTGCTTTTTCAGTGTTGCCCTTTATTGTGAAAGTCCTTATTTCAGGGATAAACGGTTTGTTGATAAAGTGCAAGCAGCTTACAAACACAGTAAAACTCGATTGTGCAAACTTTTGCTATGTATTGACCGTCCAGCATCATCACTAACGACATGGCAGCGACGGTTATCTAAGCAGCGGAACTTTGTGTGACCGGTGGTAGAAGCCGTTAGGCTCGCATCTGATCAGCCTGTTTCATTGCACACGCTACTCTCATCACATTATCCGCTAGCAATCTTTATCCACTCATGAATCTTCCGTATACACACCTGTCGGTATACAGTATGCATTCAGTACACCAACCACCTTACAAACAGCATCCTGTCCTTTTTGACAGCACTCCAGTACACCCTCAAATCCACATTTAAGCACTAAATTGGTTTCCTATGTTTCATTTAGGGTGATATATACAGTGATCAGGCCACAGCACTGGAATGGGGAGCATTCGGTCACCTGATTTCATTCATTGTATAGGTAATCTCTATAACACCTGTTGTTGTTATGTTGAGTAATCCAGGTAATTTCATCGCTGTGCCTCATCTAAGGGTTCAACATCCTGTACCCTAGATTTGTTAGCTCATAGTTGAATCCCTGTCTCTGCCCAGTTGGTAAAACGCTGCGCGCTCCACCACTGGCGTCAGATCCAGATTAAACTTATCATCATGGTAAACAACAGTACCTCAGACATTTGAACTGATAACACTGTTCGACATGAGATAGGGTGTTGCTAGTAGTACCAAGAGGGCTAATTATCAATATGCAAACTAAATGTTTCTATCACGTCGAGTTTTTGTTTGCTTTCAGTTTTTCATTTCAGCTACGTAGTACATCCCATGCACCGAGTGATCACCTGTGATTGGTCGAGTGGCTCCCTGTAACCGTATAAAAAAGTGACCTTGGCCATGGTAACCGCCTGATACTGAAAATTAATTCAGAGCAGTGTTTCCTTAATTGATATATTGTGCATGGCTCAAGGACAATGCTGTGTCAATGACCGAACTCATTTTGGTTACGACTATGGACTGTCTACTACAGTCGCATACAGACCCAATTCTTCACTACTGAAGTCCATCTGCCATGCATATTTCGGGATTAAACAGGGAGATCAGGATAAGAAGTGGGCGGCACATATTGTTTGTGTCGTGCGATCTTTAGCTGACACAGCGAATCAAGTGCAAAGGCAAGATGCGCTGCAAATCTCGTGGTGTGGAGGGAGCCAAAGGATCAAACGACAGGCTACTACTAGTAATATGCTTGTCCGTGAGGTCAAACTGACCCACCAACTATATTTGGCTTGTAAATTTGCCAACACTGCTAAGCTCCTATATAAGCATGTTAATATCATTAGGAAAGTGAAACGCGGTATCCCCACACTCAACACGGCAGTCGGAGTGGCACAGAGTGCTGAAGAGGCAGCGAACGCTCTACGGATGCAGTATGCCCCAATCTTCCAACGAGACGTCTGCCACTATTACATATCTACACGCCCAGCCCCAATTTCGGCACTTACTAACATCGCTTTACTGCCACTTCCCTGTTGAATAAACTACTCTCACTACGCACCTACAGTTCTCCCCGAATTGATTATACTCACCCGAGGGAGCTGAACGAAGCAGCAACAACGCTGGCCAAGCCATTATCGTATTGCTTCCAAACATGCTTGGAGCAGCAAACTTTGCCTACCATGTGGAAACATGGTTTAATCACTCAGATTTTCAAAAGTGTTAATCGCCCGGAACCCGCCAACTACCACCCAGGGGTTCTCCATCCTGTGCTCTCAAGGGTGATGGAGGCAATCATCGCTGAGGCTTTAGTAGACTATCTAGAACACCCCAACATCACAGCAACCAAGCAGCACGGTTTCCGCCAACACCGTACATGCACTTAAAATTGATTGCACGCGGTAGTTGGACGGAATTGGAGGTTAAAGGTAGGGAGAAAGAGGTCATTTAACTTGAGTTCTTCAAGGTTTTCGACAGACTGGACCACCGCATTATGTTTCACAGGCTCGAAAGCTAGGGAGTTGGGGATCCTGTGAAAGACAGCAACAGCGGTTAAAGTTACTGGCAGTTTACAGCGTACGGCACTGACAGTCACATGGAGAACTCATATTGGTGTACCAAATATTGTGTGACCCAATCGTGTATGCAGGCATTTGCTGAGACAACCACAACACTAAGTTCAGAGGTAACGTATTGAAAACTGAGTGAGCAATACAGTGGATTAGAATGCTGACGGAATTGCTTTTCTATTCGGGTTTGCCAACCTTGGAACTCTCGTGAAGCACTATCGTCTTTTCCTTACCTTGGACGTCTTTAAAAACGATTGGATGTCGCTCTTAGCTTCCATCACTTCGTTAACTAATGTGTGATACTGTGGAAGTTTTCTATGATATGCTCATGCTGGCCTTAGATATCACATGAAACAGATGCATGAGTGGTTTTCCTTTTCTTTTTCTCATAGAATACTTCAAGTACAACTGCTCACATTCAATTCCCGTTTCGCATTATCGTTATGCAGCAGCGTATTGAAATGGGTAGACGCTTAAATTGATGATTCACATAACTTTTAACTTGCTCCTTGTCACCTCAACCACCTGGCGGGATTTATCAAACACCCACATTATTTACCCGTGATACATCATTATTCATTGTCCAAGCCTATTGGTTTGATTGTCCCGGAGCACAGACATTAAACCCCGGTTGGCCAATTGTACGCCAGTGCTGCGTATTAAACTGAAGATTCTAACAAGGACATTAGAAACTGTAATGAGAGTAGCAAGAGGAACGGAAGAATGAAGGTGGACATCAGTCCATTTTCAGTTCTTCATCACGCTTTATTCAGCAGTTAGGGCACTCTGCTGAAGCTGCAGTCTAGCTGATGCAGGAGGTGATTGCATGTCCGTGAAAATTTATTCATGATTTTAAGAGAGCTGGGATATTCACAAGGCTCCCCAACACTGACAGGCGAGCGACTCATGCCCTTCATCTAGGCTTGTGCCCAATTACTTCGTCGCAAAACCGCGGGAAAATTGCAGCTATCCGATTTTGCAGAAACAGACATTTGCTATTGAACCCTTTACCACGTAGGAACAGGAGACTGACTTCATCGGACCTATTACTATTAACCGTTCTAGTAGAAATAGACCTCAAGGATCGTGGGTATCATCCATTGTTGCTCGATGTCTAGAAGAGATGCGCAAACCGCTGTATCATGTTCCGTTCCAGTTTCCTTGCGACGGCGTCAATAGGGCTGACACACGATAGAAATTTTGGTAACCATTATAACGTGTTCAGTATTTAGGTCCCCAATAGGTATCTTGGTAACAGGTATGAGGTCGGCGGGAAACAGCGGCGAATACCTTGAAATCAGTTATGTGGTTTGATGGAATCCACCAGACTGCTTGTTCCATTAACATGTGACAACGACACGAAGGACGAAAGCGCATCTAACCAAGACTGACTAATCAGCGCTAATCTATGCACGTATCAATTGTGTATTCTGTGTATGTCTCAGATGTGTGACGCAAGGGTATACGTGGCAAATGCTGCAGTTCTCTCCGAGTTTGTCCGTGTAAACACCGTACCACCGGTAAAAGAAGACTCGGATGCGTTTCAGGAAAACAGTGAAAGCAGCAAATTACCGTGCAAGTTTCATTCAAACAGAATGCCTGAATGGAGCACTGTGGTTCATCATCTCGACCAAAGAGGATGGTGGATTTGCTCATGGTATCTTTTGGCAAGACAAATATGGCAGTGAATCCTCGGGAGGGTACAAATGCATCTCGAGTAGAGGTACTGCCTTAAAAAATCAAAGAAAAGGGTGATATGAGTAGAGGATAAACATTTCCCTTCAGTGATCAATACGTACTGATTTGCACATACAGGAGAAAATGCATTACAAAGTCCTGCTGAAGTCGGATAAAGTGGCATAATCAAATATGGTTTACCAAAAACACTGCACCAATGTCCTACTGGGTGTTGCTTCCATTGAATGAAAGTCTGCTTATGCGTATTGATGTGGCACTCTTCTTAAAGGTCTTCTGGGAACATGGCGTGAGCGCCGATCGGCAATTTCCAACATCTCAGCTCCCCTGGTTTTAGCCACCAGCCTGACCGCTACAGGCTCCGATTTATTGGATTGTGCTTACGGTGCAGCTTAATTCGATAGGCGTTAATGTGGAGACGGCACAAGACTAATTTGAGATTGGGTGGTCCTAACTGCATTTTAGGTGGATCAATGTTGAGTGATGCCTCTATTGATCAACTTGCTGCTATAAAACCATCTCATAACGTGGTGTATTTCATGTAGATCCGCTTAGTTGCTCATCCCCCAAGTCAGTTACCGTCACTCCGCATAAATTAACGTGCTGCAACAAGATGATGGCACCTCGTCTCGTTTCATTTCGTGGGGAATTTTTTAATCACCCATGGATTTGCACTAATATTTCATTTTTTCCACTCCAAGCTATCTGTCCTGGTTATGAATTGTAACATAACTTTACCGTGTAGCTTTTTCAGAATCAATGTTAGTGAGGACTGCTTGCTGTTGGGTAGGAAGGGAACTTCGAATGCTTTCTTCTACGCCACTTGGCCGAACGCGTGTGTGACAACTAGTTAATTCCGTTAAGCAGCTGAACTCTTGAGTTAGGCATTATATGACCCGCTTGATAGCTTGATCGAACACCAACCCTAGGTGCAACATTATTTAACACGTACTCTACCAAACTTTGGTCATCTGGAGAGGTACTGGAGCTCTGAAGTTATGCTTAGAGATGATCTCTTCTCCATTTAATCTGGTTGGTGTTTCTAGGTAACACTTGCCACGTACAGGCTGGGTAAGACATTTGCGATCGAAAGCGCGACAACCTGTTGTGTACACTAATCTGATGACAGAGCGAGTAATGACTACTGACTTACAACACCCTCTACTCATATTTAGCACAACTTTCTTTTCAGAAAGCATTTTTGTCAATACTGAAAAGTTGCTTTAAGGAGTTTACAGACACGACGTAACAACACAAAAGCGCTGGGAAATACGACAGGTCTGAAGGTGCCTCCTTCTATAGACCCAATCGGTAACCCACAGAAATCAGTAGAATCGTGAAAGGCTGTCAGATCCAACCATTAGGTGCACTAACAGTCTAATGCTCTGATACTTTAAACCCCGAATGAGGTCAAAAATGCAAACAGGAAATGCCGTCAAATCGGTTGGAGACTCAACAGCTCTCAGCATTTGCAAAATAGAAGCCCTTGGTGCTGAACAGGCGTGCTATGGATTTCAGTCTGCTCAGATCAGTAGGTAACGACAAGAGTGTGGAAAGCTGATACTAGCATGCGATGAGATCGATACGCACAACTGTCTGTCGGCCAGACTAAGCGCTTGATAGGGACAACGGCAGAGTGAGGCAATTAAGAGACATGCACTACTATCTTGGTCTCTCTGGTATAGGTATACAAACAGCAGTATTCTATGGTCGCGGTCGTGTTTGGGTGGGTGGAGAGCCGCCTATCGGTGCCATAGTGTACGTAACCCCTACGGCCGACAGTGTTCTACTTGTCCACTTGGGTCCTCATTGATACAGTTGAGACTAATACTTGCCCCAGTCTTTGCTTTACTGATTGGGATGATAGGCAGTTGGAGATATGTGCCCGGAATACACCAGAACCACTAAACAAATGATGTTTGTAGGTTCCGGCAGTGTGAGCTTGACTACGGACCACCACTCTGGCTTCTAATTCACTTACTCTCAAAGGTTTCCGATCCAGTGTAACAATATGTGGCCCGATACTGTTCCGCATCAGTCTCTCCATAGGATCTAAAAACAAAAAGCGGTTTCAACAATTTGTGGTGGCCTGTATGCAGTTAATCCAAATGCAAAATATACTGATTTTTATGCCCATCCTGTTTAAATGATGCAGATTTCCAGGTGCCAAAGTCCTAACTCAGCACATGTAATTCGGTGCATTCGGCAAAGTGAGCCAAAGCAAACCCAAGATTCCGCAGCGCGCAGCTGATTTAAAATGTTGCACTACTTCCTTTCACCAGATAGTCGGCTCTGCGTTTAGCATGATGTTTTCTGACCTACAAAATTCTACCCAGCCTCTTTTTGTGAGTCCCCAAAGCACATGACGTAACGGCATAGACAAATTCAACGGCCCAAATAGCGAGCTTTTACTTGCGTGGAGTACTGTAACAGAGACATAGTACCCTCGCAGTCTACGTGACAATCACTTATATAATTAAGATCTGATTTCTATGACTCCTGACACGCTAGTTCATGACCAGCTCAGTCATTGCTTGAATAGTTTGCAGAATGTTCCGGAGCGAGGGTCATAAATTGACCGTGGCCGCCTCTACCATCAGAACAATGAACGCCGTGAGCAAAGCGATCAAGGCTCTAGTTCGTCGTTTGGTTCACAAATTATTGTTGCATGTTTAGATCGGGGCGGGTATGATCAACTATGAAGGATGGAGTAACGCAGAATCAATGTCTTCCCGACAGCTGTGTGACCGATCTGTCTAGAGTAGACAAAAATAATACTGCAAATGTAGGGCTGTAGCTAGTTATTTATCTACTGCTCCACGACTGATCGCAGTTTTCTAGCCTAGCAACAAGAGCGATCGGTCTCGAATTGATTGGCATTCACAACCGATAGCATGGGAGACCCACTTCTCACGATAGAGACAAACTCGTACTACTGAGCACTCACCCAGTCACCCAGCCCTGGTTCTTCAAGTGGAAACTGGTCAACCATGACTTTATCAAGCTCTATTGGATAACTGGTCAAAGTTTCGAGCACGATTGCCAACCGAGATCCGGCTAAAGGCAGCAGGCGTACAGCCACGAGTCGTAAGCAATTCGATGACCGAGTGCAGCGGTGCTACATCCGCGAAGCACTCTCTGTTAACAATGTTATTGCCAAATCCCTAACAAGAGTTCCGTTATCACCTAACTACAAGGGCTGCGGTCCAAGGCTAATGAAGGTAATACTACACTCCGAGGGAATGACGCAAGTTCTGTTGGATAGCTGGTTAAAGTTTCGAGCTAAGTTGCCACTAGAAATACGGCTAAAGGCAGCAGGCGAACGACCAAAAGTCGGAAGAAATTCGATGGAACTTGCAAACGCTGCAAATTTTTTATTTGCACAGTCCTTCGGAGAGACCGACACAACAGCGCCCACGTCACAAAGGAGGACCGAGCACAGCACAAGTGAACCATCAGTTCAGGAACGCTCAATAATGTCATGTAACACGACTGAAATACACAAACCAAAAAACGATTAATTGCCGGCCACCTAACGGCCGGCTTAAAAACGAACACAAACTTGACATCTATCAATGAACTCCTAACAACAAAAGCCCTATCTTGCATGTACACAAACGCTCAAGGCCTTCGAAGCAAGTTGGCCGAACTTAGAGAACTCCATGCCTCCCAACCGCGGGACCTCGTCATGATTACAGAGACATGGTTAAACCCTGAGATAACCGACTGTGAGATCAAGTTACCCGGTATGTCGCTGCTTCGGACCGATAGAACCGGAATGGGTGGCGGTGTGATTCTTTACTATAATACAAGCCTCCGATGTGAAGTTATCAATCACCCGGAAATCCGAGCTCCCAATTCGCTTTGGTGCCGCCTTTGGTTGCGAAACAAGGACACATGTCTACTAGCCGTGGTTTATCGCCCGACAAACTCAACGTCGGAAATGGACTCCAAACTGTACCACGTTTTTAAGTTTGCTTTGAACAAGTCCTACACCCACATTCTTATCGCGGGAGACTTTAACGTGCACGACATAGAAACGCCGGCAACTGACGGTACACAGTTTAAAGCCTGTTTGCAAGAACTTATTGCTAGCCACCCTCTTTACAACCACGTAACCTCTCCCACCAGATTTCGAACTTCTAACAAGCCGTTGATACTGGATCTTGTGCTAACTAACGAAGAACTCATGGTTGGAGGGATAGTTACAAGCACACCACTGGGTCGTAGTGATCATGTCACTCTACTCTTTGAATATATATGCTATGCCGAGTACCCGGAAAAGGAGGAGGACAAAGTGCACACTGTCACGCACTACAATGTGTTGTCCAAGCTTGTTAAGGATACATCTTGGACTTTCTTAATCGAATGCCCCCCAGATCTGGCCTGGGATATGTTTACAAGGACTTTGAGCACACTGGTAGCGCAAGCATCGGAACAGAAGTCCTTCCAACCCAAAAACCAGAGTAAGTCATTTCTGAGGAGCAGAACATGTAAATGTATGTCCCGGAGGGATTTGGCATGGCGAAATCGCCAGGGTTGCCCGAATGCCGAAACTTGGACTACATACGTGACACATCGTAACTTCTGAGTGAAACTGATCCGCGAAGACTAGGTCACGCATCAGCAGAAGTTAATGAAGCGATTCTGCACTAACCACAAACTCATGTACAGGCACATTAACGGCCTTCGAAAGGTAAAGCGAGGGGTTCCGGCGCTAGTCACGGCTGATGGATACACGCGGTCAGCAATGGAAGCAGCTGATCTCCTACGGCTTCATTACTCTCAAACGTTCCAACAAGTGTCCAGCCCAAACATTCACCTCATTTCTAATACTCCACCATCTGGTTTAGAAAACATCACCTTCACTACGGAGGCTGTGTTGAAGAAGTTGTTATCCTTGCGTATCCACAGTTCTCCCGGAGCTGATAACATCCGACCAAAGGCTCTACAGGCAGTAGCTAGTGAGCTAGCAGAACCACTGGCTGTTTTCTATCAGCGATGTCTAGAGGAAAACCTTATTCCACCAGTATGGAAGCAAGGGGTCATCACTCCTATCCATAAAGGAGGTAGCCGCACTGATCCTGCAAACTACCGTCCAATAACACTACTTCCCGTACTATCCAAAGTGATGGAATCAATCGTCGCAGACGCGCTGATGCAATATTTGGAAAGCCACAAGTTAATAGCCCCAGAGCAACATGGCTTTCGTCAAAAGCATTCGTGTAATACTAACCTATTAATTGCACGTAATAGCTGGACTGAAGCTGTTGATGATGGAGTTGGAGTAGATGTCATCTACCTGGACTTTTCAAAAGCGTTTGATCGTTTAGACCATCGAGTTCTCCTTCAGAAGCTTCGGAACTACGGCATTGGCTATCCAATCTTGAGTTGGATTAGCAATTTTCTACCAGAACGACGGCTAGTGGTGAGAGTCCGAGAATCATTTTCTCATGCAATCGACGTGACGTGTGGAGTACCACAATGCTCGGTTCTTGGACCTCGTATATTCTTGGTGTTCATTAACGATTTGGCGAGATCAATTACTTCCGATTTCTTATTTTTCGCTGATGATATTAAGATATGGCGAAGGATCAGAGGACCGGGTGACCATGAACGGCTCCAGCACGATCTTAACACAGTGTCGAACTGGTCACTTCAAAACGCTCTACCGTTCAATGTAGACAAATGTCGCGTAGTACAATTACGCCATGGACATAACTACACCTACATACTTGGGACAAACGAATTGCAGAATAGCTCCCAGGAACGTGATCTTGGTGTGATCGTACAGAGCGACCTCAACTGTTCAAAACAGGCTGAGGTAGCTGTCAAAAGAGGCAACCAGCACGTCGGCATGCTGCGAAGGGCATTCGGGAGATTTGACCCATCAATCTTCCCAATGATGCTCAATTCCTACGTGCGCCCGCATGTTGAGTACGCAATCCAAGCTTGGCAACCTTGGTTGAAACGCGACCTAGAAGCGATAGAGGCACCACAACGAAGAGCAACAAAAAATGTGAAGGGCCTGCGCTATCACTCTTACCACCGAAGGCTGAAGTTGCTGAGAATTTTCAGCGGACGTTATCGAAGGCTGCGCGGCGATCTCATATTAGCGTATCAAATATTGAGTGACCCCAACCACGTATGCCGCCATTTGCTGAAACTTAGCCACAACACGCAGCTCAGGGGTAACTGATTAAAGTTGAAGGAACAATATAGCCGTCTAGAGTGTCGACGGAATTACTTTTCCCTTCGGGTTTGCAAACCATGGAACGCACTCCCAGACTCAGTGGTATCCTCTCCTACCCTGGATGTTTTCAAAAAACGATTAGATGTTGCTCTCAGCTCCCAACATTTTGTTACCTAAGCTCCTCTGTTGTGGATTACGCCAAGCATGTTTTCAACAGGACTAATGTATCAAATGGACCTAAGTGAGCGACCATATTTTATTTTCTCACTCCTTACCTCAACTATCACTGCGCCCCAGTGTCTTTCTGAATGTTTACGCGCGATATTTATTTTTCATTTTACACTGATGTTAATTATCAAAGTATTCATCTCGGCAGACGTTCGATAGATGACCCAGACTTATTTTACTTGCATCATATTCACCGCTACCATCCTACGGGACGTGTCAAGCACTTGCTTTTATCCCGTGATAAATCATTGTTCATTGATGGAACTTGCAAACGCCGTAAATTTGGTATCTGCACAGTTCTGTGGAGAGACCGACACAACAGCACCCACGGCACACAACAGGACAGAGCGCAGTACGAGCGAAACTAGTACACAGGAACGGTCAACGATGCTATGCAACCTAACTGACGTTCATAAACCAAAAACAATTAAAGACCGGCCAACTAACGGCCGGCTTAGACAAACACAAAGTTGACATCTATTAACGCACTCCTAAGAACAAATACACTATATTGTATGCACGCAAACGCCCAAGGCCTTCTAAGTAAGTTGGCCGAACTTAGAGAACTCTATGCCTTACAACCGCGGGACCTTGTCATAATTACAGAGACATGGTTAACCCTTGAGATAACTGATTCTGAGATCCATTTACCGGGTACGTCGCTGCTTCGGAACTGTAGAACCGGAAGGGGTGAGGGTGTGATTCTTTTATAATACAAACCTCCGATGTGAAGTTCTAGAGTACTCAGAAATTCGTGCTCCTGATTCACTCTGGTGCTGTCTATGGTTGCGAACCAAGGACACATGTTTACTAGCTGCAATTTACTACCCACTAAACTCTATGTCGGAAATGGACCTCCAACTGAACTACGTCTTTCAGTTTGCTTGCATATTCTTATCGTTGGAGACTTAAATGTACACGGCATGGAAATGCCAGCAACCGAGGGTGCGCAGTTTAAAGCCTGCTTGCAAGAGCTAAGTTCAAGCTACTCTGCCTACAACTACGTAACCTCTCCCACCATATTTCTAACTGCCAACAAGCCGTCGATACTGGATCTTGAGCACACTAATGAAGAACACATGGTCGCCGGGATAGTTACAAGCACACCATTGGGTTGCAGGGACCCCGTCACTCTACTTTTTGACTATATATGCTACGCGGAATATCCTGAAAAGGAGGATGACAAAGTATATACTGTCAGGCACTACAACGTGTTATCTACGCTTGTTAAGGATACATCTAGAACTTTCTTAACCGAGTGCCCCCAGTACGTCGCCTGGCAAACATACACAAAAACGTTTAGCATACTGGTAGCACACGCATATGAACAGAAGTCATTCCAAAGTAAAATCAAATATAAGTCATTTCTGTGGAGCAAAATACGTCAATTTCTGCCTCTCAGGAATTTGGCATAGCGAGCTCACAAGAACTGCCCGAATACCGAGACCTAGACTGCATATGTGGCACATCAAAACTTCTGCGTACAATTGACCCGCGAGGAGAAGGTGATGCATCGGCAGGAGTTAATGAAGCGATGCTGCACGAATCTCAACCTCCTAAACAGGCACCTCAGTGGCCTTCGTAAAATGAAACGCAGCATCCCAGCACTGGTCACAACTGATACGTGCACGCGATCAGCAATGGAAGCAGCCTATCATCTACGGCTTCACTACTCCCAAACTTTCTAGCAAGTAACGAACCAAAATATTCTTCTCGTATATATTACTCCACCAGCAAGTTTATGCATCACTTTCCCTGCGGAAGCTGTGTTGAAGAACTTGCTATCCGTGCGTATCCATAGTTCTCCTGGAGTCGACAACATTCGACCGAAAGCTCTGCAGACAGTAGCTATTGCTCTAGTAGAACCACTAGCCGTAATCTAGCAACGATGTTTAGAGAAGAACTATGCTCCATCATTATGGAAGCGAGAAGTCATCACTCCTATGCATAAGGGAGGTAGCCGCACTGACCCTACCAATTACCGTCTAATTAAGCTAGTTCCTGTACTATCCAACTTTATAGAATCAATCATCGCTGATACGCTGATGCAGTATCCATAAAGCTACAACTTAAAAACCCCAAAACAACATGGCTTCCATCAAAAGTGCTCGTGTACTACTAACCTACTAATTGCGAGTAATGGCTGGACGGAAGCCGCTGATGGTGGAACAGGATCCGATGTCATCTACCTGGACTACGCAAAAGCGTTTGATCGCTTAGGCCGTGGAATTCTTCTTCACAAGAGTCAGTACTACGGCAATGGTGACCCAAGTGCCTACACGAACGTTGGTTAGAGGTGAGAGTCCGAAAATCTCTGTCCGATGCAGCCGATGTGGAGTGCAGTGTAGCACAAGGCTCGGTGATATAGCCCCTTCTATTCTTGGTGTTCATAAACGATCTAGCGAGATTAATTGTTTCCAAATTTCTATTTTTCGAAGATGTTATCAAGACATGACGAGCGATCAGAGTATCGGACGACCACAAACGGCTCCAGCGCGATCTTAACACGAGTTCGAACTGGTCAGCTCAGAAAGCTTTACCAATCAATGTGGGCAAATCCCGCGTTGTGCAGTTACGCCATAGACACGACTAAACGGATTTACATGGGACATACAGATTGCTGATCAGCTCCCAGGAGCGGGACCTTGGTGTGCTCGTACAGAGTGACCAATACGGTACAAAACAGACTGTGGTAGCTGCAAAAGGAGGCAACCAGCACGTCGGCCTGCTGCGAAGGGCAATCGGGAGATGTGACCCCTCAATCTTCCCAGTGGTACACAATTCCTACATGCGCCCTCACGATGAATACATCAGCAGAATCTAGCGGAAACGTTTCGTGTTAACAAAAGGCTTCTGTACAGATATGTGAACAGCCTCCGGAATGTGAAACGTTGTGTTCCCCCACTAATATCAGCAGATGGACGAGCTCAAACCACCGTGGATACAGCTAACGTTCTACGACTCCAATATGGTCCAAGTTTCCGAAGTGCTACCAGCAGGTGTAACACACCTGTTCCAAACTCCCAGGTACCAGTAGTTACACACCTCATCTTTAGTTCGGCAACCATTTTGCGGAAGCTGCTATCGTTGCGCACACATAGTTCCCCGTAGTTGACAACCTTCTCCCGAGGGCAGTGCAGGTGGCCGCTACGAGGATTGCTGAACCATCAACAAGATTTTTCCAAAGATGCCTGGACAGACAGCAGGTCCATAACATGTGGAAGCAAGGCATCATTATCCCGATTTTCAAGAGTGGTAGCCGTTCAGATTTCGCCAACTATCTCCCCGTGATTCTGCTCCCGATGCTCTCAAATGTGATAGAATCGATCATAACTGAGGCTGTAATGGGCTATTTGGAAAGATCTAACATCATACCAAAGGAACAATACAACTTCCGTCAGCGTCGGTCACGTACTGCCAATCTACTTATTGCCTGTGGCAGTTGGACCGAGATAGCCGACAGTGGGATCGGCATGGATGTCAGCTACTTAGACTTTTCTAAAGCCTTTGCTCGTATAGATCATCTTATCCTTCTCCAAAGGCTGCAAGCGAACAGAGTTGAGAACCCTGTCCTTGGACGGATCGGAAACTTCCTCCTTCAGCGGCGCCTTCAGGTTCGAGTTCGGGGCTTATCTTCTGATCCAAATGTTGTGGACTGCGGTGTTCCACAAAAGACATTGCTGGGGCCGCGGTTGTTCTCGTAATTCATTAGCGACCATGCGAGTGTCATCAAGCAAAATTTCCTGTTTTTTGCCGAGAACATCAAAATATGGCGGACAATTGGCTATCAGGAAGATCACGATAAGCTGCAAAGAGACTTAGACCACTCCTTTGAATGGTAAAAGGTAAATCTATTTATGTTTAACACGGACAAATGCAAAACCGTGCATGCGCGCCACAATCCCACGTACGCATATAAGTTGGGAGACGACATGCTGAAAACCGTCTCACAAGAGCGAGACCTTCGGGTGGTAATGCAAGATGACCTCGGCTGTTCAGCACATTTCTTGAAGGCGTCCAAAACCGCGAACCATGTTGGTCTGTTACGGAGGGCGTTCGGGTGGTTCGATCCCTCCATTTTCCCCCAAATTCTCAATGCACATATGAGGCCGTACGTAGAGTTCGCGATACGGGCTTGGCAACTCTGGTCAAAACGCGATTTGGCTGCGCTAGAGGCCGCCCAGCTAAATGCAACGAAAGATGTGAAGAGGTTGTCCCACCTGCAATACCACAGAGGACTGAGAGCCCTGGGAGTGTACAGCGGAATATACCGCCGTCTACGGGGTCATGAAAAAACCCCGGTCGCACCTGCCGCCACCTGAAGCTTAGCCGTAACACGGAATCATGTGGTCATAAGTTGAAACTTGCCACACACTACACTCGGCTGGAATGCCGCCGGAATTATTTTGCCCTCCAAGGTTGTCAACCGTGGAACACTATTGCGACTTTTGTCATCTCCGCGCCCACGCTACCCATTTTTAAAGTACGACTGAACGATGCTTTACACCACTTACATTACTTGAGTTGATTTCTATTCACTGAGTGCCGAGGTGGCGGGCAAACATTGTTCTCACCAACCCCACGAACTCGGGTAGACGGACATGCCTTTGTGTTAATGTGGATAATATGGTGAATCAACAGATGCGTTTTTTCCCTTTGGGGCAACTTTTTTGAACTAGCGGTATTCCCCCAAACCATCCCACGGGACTTGTCAAGCCTTGGCGTTTTTATCCGTGGTATGCCATTGTTCCATTGCCACCCGTGCTTGGCAACCTTGTCTGACCTATAGATGTCAGAGATACCACAACGAAGAGCAACAAAGAATGTAAAAAGCCGATGAGTTCACTTTAATCACCGAAGGCGGAAGTTGCTGGGAGTGTTCAGCAGACGCTACGGAAGGCTGTGAGGCCATCTCATACTAGCGTACCAAATATGGTAACTCCAAATAAGTATGCCGCCATTTGCTGTACTTTAGCCACAACACGCAGCTCAGAGGTAACACTTGGGGATTACGCGAGCAATAAAGCAATTTATAGTGTCGATGGAATTACTTTTCCCTTCTGGTTTGCCAACCCTGGAATTCTCTCTTACACTCATTTGTATCCTCCTGTACATTTCACATCTTCGAAAATGAGTGGCTGTTGTTCTTAGCTCTCAACACTTCGTTACCTAAACCATGTCATTGTGGTTTACGTTAGTCGTGCCCTTCTGCCGGATTAATGTGGGACACGAACTCAAGGATGCAGGGCATAAGTGAGCGACCATATTTTACCTCCCTCACACATTACATTAAAGGTCACTGCACCCCGTGTATTGCTGTATGCTTACACTCGATGGGTAGTTTACATTAACTTTACCTTTCAACGCAATTATCTCGGCAGACACTCGGTAGGGGATTCACCTATATCTGAAGTTCATTGTATTCACCCCAAACATCGTACGAGATATGTCAAGCACATGCTTTTAACCCGTGATACATCAGTGTTCATTATTCAAACGGTACACGGCTGGCTTACCGGAACCAAGGAAATTCGTGGGTGCGCAGCATCCTGTTCAGCATTCCAAACGGTTCGGTGTCCAGCGTTTTGTCAAAATGAACTCCACGATCATCCCCGAGGTCTGGTGAAATTATACGCCGTATACTGTCGCAGTCAAAAGATATGTGCTGTAGAGATGAACCGGAGAGGAACTGTCAGGATGGGAGTAGCAAATGTTATCTAACGAGAGGAACACAATCGGTTAGTGCGTTGGTTTTCTAGGTTAGCTTTTAAAAGATTCCAAAACCAACCCAAAATTCTATGAGTACCAATCACTTTCTGTTGCTATCGAACTTTAAACCGCTCACAGCTGGTTTTACTCACTTTGCAGCAACTGCCGTGCAGTGCCGCTTTATTAGACGATTATCCTCAGTGCATGCTGAGTGCCACCCGCACGCTCTGTCGTTCGCTCGCTCGTCCATCGGCTCAGAGCACTGTACTCCAATACAGGTTTCGTAATCATTTACATTCATCTAATAGTGACAGAAGGGTTTCGATGTACCCCGGAACATTTGGGATGTCGGCAGAAACTCCTACATCTTAACCATAGGGTTACGGCGGTAGCAGATTTTTTCGTTTATTCATTGGCCCCAGTATCTTCTAAATGCCTTGTCACACATAGCTGCAGTTTTTGGAAAAATGGACTCCATATGTATAAAAAGAGGTGAGAGGGATAGCATTCGCGTGGAGTAAAATTGTGAGCTCCAACCAGAAACAAGGACCATAAACAACTGACGGCACCAACGAACTGACATATGAAAACCAGCGTCAGTGACAGCGTAAGAAAACGAAACTCCGCAGTTATGAACGCCTACACAAATATACCATCATTCTCATCACTGATCTATCATCAAATACGCACCATTTATCGCGGACACCGCTCAGAAGGGAATGGTTCAGTAAGTAGTCTGCTCTCATTGCTATCCGATAAAAGTTTAATCAAATGTCGGCTTTTTAATTTCCTGATTATTCAATCTGTCTGATGGGCGTGACTAGCATTGCCGAGACTAATCGTTCATTTACCCAGAGACTGGAATTCAGCGCGGTGACTGTTTCAGCTCCCATGGAATACACTAGCATCAGTCAGCTCAGAGCAGGGCGTGTCCCAAGCGTGAACATTTTTCTGTTCGGATCAGGCTAGAGTGACATCAGGCAAACACCCAGTGCTCAATGAGTTAGAAATCTCTCAAATTTCCCCCTAACCTTGACCTAGTATTGATACCAAACAGATATCTAAAACTTCGCATACTTCACATTGACCAAAGGCGCAACAGGAAAAGCATACTATAACAGAACATTTTATGTCTAACAAAATGTCAACCACAATTTTTGGGCTAGGTCCACGTTCCGTTATGAACAATCGTGTTGCTTGTATTGGTCACTGTATTGGGAACATGGGCTGAGGTTTGGCACTCAACTGAGTAGCAGATCAATGCATCTAGCGGTAAGCACAAATCACTTGCTGAGCACTGAGCACTATGTCACTCGTCATCGTGATGCGCAGTCACCGGTCCCACGTTTTCAAGCTACTAGAAACCATTGTCATCTGTCTATACCATTTATCAATTGACTGCATTATTAACGCAATCGCTTTCATCCGTAGCTCAGTAGCTTACATCCTTAAAGCAGGAACTACAATCCGATAGTCCCGAAAATTGCATCCACGACCTGAGCCATCCGCACGTGTAGGTGCACACCAGGATAACAACATAAGATCGGTGGAAGCGGGGCTTGTTCACGAACTGACTCCAAACGCAAGAGTCTGGTATGTGAAGGTAAGGTGAAGCCAGCACAGTTCCAAACGAGTACAGAGGTGACAGTGACATGTCCGGAACACGGGGTCACACCCCTTGGCTTGATCGGGTCCCTTATGAATGAAGTCAAAACGGTCTCACAAAAAGGACTTGAGCGAGCGAACGAGATGTCCGTTGAGACGAGGGGCAGATGAGTTACGGATGACCAGAGGGAAGGGTGTTTTACTTCACTAACATCGGGTTCCATCAAGCGAAGGGCCGCAGCCCCACGTTCCGGACTTGTTCACTATCAGGTCTGCGTTCTTCCGGAACTATGCTGATTTCGCACCTCATGCTTTCGTGTTTGAGACTAGTTCGTGAGCAAGCCCTGCTTTCACCCCCTTACTGTGTAATGCTGAGGCGCACCTACACGAGCGGTTGGTTGAGGTCGGGGATGCAATTTTTGTGATTTTCTAAGTATAGTTTATGCTATAAGGATGAAAGCTGCTGCACCGCGGATGAAGGCGATTACGTCAAGGATGCAATCAGTTGAAAAATGGTGTAGAACGATCAGTGATGCGTATGCAGTAACAGCTGGCTGCGAAGCTGAGTTTACCTTACTAGGGCGATGTGTACCAACAACTGGCCTGCTATCCATCTCTTATGACCTCATTTTCGTATAGCTATCGTTGCACGTTTGTGAATAACAAGCGTGCCTGAAATGACTGAGTTGTCTCATAGTCCACAGCTCCCGGTCACATTGTTCGGTATTATAAAGCAAAGTTTTGTTTCAAACAAAAAACGGAGTCGCGACTTAACAATGCGAAATGATATGTATGCCCATAGGTACTGGCTTATGAAGGATGTTTTAGACGAGAGTGGTCAAAACCAGGACTTGTGTTCACCAACACCAGTAACCAGGTGATTTAGTGTCCTTTGAGGCAATGCGGCACTTGTCAGATTTAAATGGTACAACAACAAACCATCAATGGACTGCGGGTCAATGGTTTACGGAAAGCAGACAGGATCATCGGGTATTGTCCCTGGCATGAGCATACCTTGCCACCTCGGAGACTCCCGTTGATCCGCGAAGCTCACGAAGACGGTTGTGTACCCTTTGCTAGGGATAATATTCAGGTCCGAGCAAAACGTATATGTATAGAAAACACTGTTTTACTATTGGACCTGCTCCCATTTAAGAGTCAGCTGTACCAGTCTGACACTACCTCTTTCACACCGCACTTCCTCAGCGTCTACCACACTGATTTACAGGATCTAAGACATAGACGTATACTACATGGCGTTTCATCGCTTGCTTGGGAGTGGGTTGTCATGCCCAACAATCTTTGGTAGCTCTGAGTTCCAGCCCAGCTCAGGCTATCTCCACTTGATGGATACAAACCAGGACGAAACCGCCATCGTGGTGTGCCAGTGTTGGGAGGAGTAACACCGAAATATTTCCATTTCGGATACGGTCCTCGCGATCGGAATGACTTAGGTTTACCTCAAAGTGAACCGAGGTCTCAATAGAGGTTGCGTGTCCCAACCCAACCATACAGTGTGTCCCACAAATGCAGCTTTGAGTTCCTTTCCGCTGTGCCAAGCGTTGCCTCCGGATCTCAGTAGCATAGTGTTCAGGGTGTCAGTCGTGAAATACAAGGCTCTGAGTTCCATCCCCACTCCGATTATCGCCGCCTGATGGGTACAAACCAGGACGAAACCGAGGTAGCGGTGTGCCAGTGTTTAGAGAAGGCACTGAAACATTTCCAATTCGGATGCGGAATGACCGAAGTCCACCTCAAAGTGGATCGATGTCTCAACAGAGGTTGCTTGTCGCAATCCAAGCACACAGCGCGTTCGCTAAATTCAACTTTGAATCGTTGGTAGCAGTTTCAGACCCTCCTACTAGTGAAACTAGGTTGACGTAGAAACCGGGGTAAAGAGCTAGCTCCCAAATGGGTACATAAATAACTTTTACACACAGACGATTGTTGAGTAACCATGGCTAGTATGCACTACATATGGTTGAAAGCAAACAAATCTGGAATTGCCTGCCATTGCGACTTCCTCGGGGACAGCCACAGGACGCTTGCGCTTATAGAGGGGTCATGGATGGCTTGCACTGCACCACCCACAGCTCCATTCACACATCCCCATATCCAGTGCAAACCTGAACAAATACGACTGGGAGCCATGTGAATGAGAGCCACTTTTCATCAACGCTCCCGAACCAAAATCCCTCAATATGCCCAGCAGCAGCATTCCTATCTATCTATGTAGGGAATCATGCTTACCAGACGTACACAAGGCAATGGCTGAACCGCAGTACACTCCATAATCAGTGGAATCATATTTGCGTGTAAAACGATCACGAAAACCGTGTACCCCGTCACCACAACAGCAATTCACAGTCTACTAGAGCCAGTGATGGTCGTGGGAGGTGTTAGAGAGATAGCCATATTGTCAACATGCACAGTCAGGGAAGCCACATGTAAATATTAAAAAAGCAAAGATGTCAGAATGAATGTGCACGTGCTCCAGAAACCAGCGGCAAAATGCATGCCGATTCCCCGGATTGCAGGCGTTCAAAACCTGCACTTGAAGTGTACTGAATCTGAGAAATTTTCCTTCCTTTTATATTCGGTGTACTGCATATAGGGTTGTGCCACAGTGCTGTGCGATCCGACGAATGCTGAGATCGAAACTTTCCGACACTTCACTGATTACAGCGCAAGCTGAACAGTCGTCCGTGATGACGCGAGGCAGTCTGGGTTTCTTCATGTCGCACACACTCCCAGTTTGTTCGAACTTCTTTACTAGTTTAAGAACGTGCCGGGTGGTGACGGGACGCATTCTTGCGTTCATAACAGTGTCCCTTCGTGCAATCGATGCACAGCCGAATAATCGGCCCGCGCTGATTAACTGGCACGTTACGTGACCCCAATTGCAGTGTCTGTTCGTGCTCCATCACCTGTTATATTGACACGACTTGTGCTGGATAATATTGCCCTCACCTAATCCAACACACCCGGTTCGCTGAGATATCACACACGCCGCCATTGTGATATCGCGTTTCAGCTTGCCTAAGCCGACTTGAATGGGCTGCTGGCTGTTTCGCTTTGCCCAGCGAGTCACACTGAGAGCCCTCGATCGCTCCAGCGCCTACGGTTGGCACTCAGTGCGAAGTTAGCTAACAGCTAACGTGTTGTGACTGTCTGTACTCATCTTGTTCGACGACTAAAAAAGGCTAATGTGCCTGCCTGTCTGTACCTCACCAGCTTACGCTTGCACTTAGCTGATCCCCGAACTAAACCACTCGTCTGCCGAGAATTCCATATATCCTCACCACTAAGATGAGAGAGAAATTCATGTTTCTGCACGCGCGCACCATGGGCAGTACGCATTTTGCAAAATTCGCTAAATATTAAGTGGCTATTGGATTGTGCGGACAATAATTGTAAATGACCGGCATTCACTATAAGTGAGCCACGGTAGGTCCATGAGTCGCGCTTCCCATTCTGGAATGCGGTCACTGGCCCTCTTCCACGTTTCTCTCTTTGGATTCCTACATATACGCTGTTTACATATGTGATTTCTTAGTAACCTGTCCGCATTCTACTTTTTTCTATTTTTTTTATTTTGTCTTCGCTTTCCCACCACTTAGTCTCCCTGTAAAAATTTTTTACGTTGGTTGTTTGGCGAATTTCCCTGCACTTCATTTATTCTCTCTTGGAACTTGTTTGTTTACTTATCTTACACTTTTACCAGAGGCCTACCTTCTAGGCTTTTCACACCAATTAGCAGTGTTGATTTTCTCTGGTTATGTGGCTCATGTATTCCATGTGAACTTCGATGACTATAAGATTATGGTATCTCAAGTCGGATCCTAACAGTTGCAACCTACCACTGTTGCATGGATCCGGTCCCAGTCATATGAGCTAGGGTCTCCTGCGGTATCCCAGCTCGCATATAACGCTTAACGCTGTATCGGTACAAATTGGCAGCGTATCTTTGGGGTATACTACTGATACGGTTTCAGGGACGCGCCCGGTGTGATGTGGGTGTATGTGGCTTTCGACAATTTGAACTCAGTTGAACCGACTTAATAGCCTTCTGCATGCCAGCTGTCCTACAGATATTTAGTTCGAGGCGTGAGGTCCTTCCAAGTAGCATGCCGTGGTGATCTATGGCTATGTTTAGTAGACAAACATGGGAGCATCAACGACACCCTTATTGGTGAGCGGTGAACGGCTGTATGTGGTAGCAATAACAGGGAAGTTGGTGCCTAATTGTTTTTGTCCTCTAAATGCCACTCGACCATAAACTAGCAAGCACTTTCACACTTCCACCTTTAAGACTCACCTGTTTTGAGGTAAATTGCAACGTGATGTTAATTTGCAGCGGATTACTTCCTGGGGATCTCGCAGTCAACACTCGGTCAGCAGCTTCCATCTTATCTTCCCTGACGAATGACGATGAGGTATTATCTGAAACATTGGCACAAGAGTACACAGGGCATCCCGGTAAATGGTGCGATGAAACGTAGCAGTTAAAGAGTGGAGAGGTACGTCACAGCATCAAATCGCATGACTGAGAGTAGATTATTGCAAACTGCGAGGGTTGCTTTTGGGACAGTTTGCGAGCTCACCTGTTGAATCACCTTAGAAGGAATCAAGATGGTATCTACTGACATGATTACGTACATCGAGGGTACAATTTTCAGTTTACTACTGCTCACTGTCACTGTATTGTAACTAAAACGTGCCATAATTATCCACTCACACCCCTACTAATGCGTGATAAGACATCAATAAGTAAACGTACACTTCGTCACTTGGTTGCGTCTGGCAAGTTCCTTCAAACCCCACTTGGACTGCAATTGGGCATAGAGTATGGGCATAGAGAAATGTAGGCACGTACGTAGCCCAGCAACGTAGGCCGGACATTCGCATGAGCACGCCGTCACCCGCGCGATGGCGGATTGCATGACGGGGTGGGAATAGTAATGCCGGAGGTCACCAACTGCTGGCTAGGATGGAGCAGGTGCAATGTAAGAGAAGGAGTGTGAGCATGGTCTGCCTCAACCTTTACAACAAAGTTTGCGTTCGCATTCTGTCACGGCCGGCAATCGGAGTCCCTGAGGCAGCTATCTAGGCGCTTGATAGTGCAAACCATTGTGTACCTTAAACACCTGGTTTGTGCTGACTAAGAGGCACAAAGAATGGGTTGCGCATAGAATGGGAAGATCACGGTTGCCTGTGATCGGACCACGAAATCGCATGTGAAGCAGTTCAAATCGCCAATCTCACTGATGCGATGACTGGTGCGAACTACCACTCAATGAGGATGGACTTTACCGTGGAGTGATGGTTTGTGTGCCTCAGTGATCCATTGAGCTATACTGGGTGGTGCTTTTTTGCATCTACAGAGCCACTCATACCAGATTGGTCAATGATTAGAGGCCAGACAAACTCAACCTCCTGATCCTCCAGGTTGGGGGTTGGAATGAGGATGGCTCCTTATTCCTTAAAATGGACTCCTTGTAACCCAATGCCAAACCAGCTGCCTTGCGGTCAGGCTCTTGAACCAAAGGTTCGGTTGAGAACTTGAATCGTACTCCTGTCTAGGCCTCGGCAACCTGACAAAATCCTGCCCACGCAATACCATGAACATTACTTCCAACAAATTCTGGATGTTCTGGCCACCGCAGAGGACGACCAACGGTGCCATAGCTGCTGCATCGAGCAGGGTGGATAGGGGTTTTGATGCTACTGCTCAAGCCTTCCCATCTTCTCATCCCCCCTCTTACGCTTTTTCACTTCACTTCACTTTACTTCACTTTTATCCCCCTGTTTTCAAACCCCGATTTTGGCTCTCCCCCAAATTGCTTTGATAGGCTGTTACCCTCTAGTTTCAACCCACATGTGAACACGGAATGTCACTCCTGCCCTGTCGACAAGCCCATGTCCAACCAAGCGGTCAAGCCCAGCTCATCAGCTCCCGTTTGGAGCCCTCGATCTTCCTTCAGATTGATATACCTCAGTGTTCGCACATTGCCACAGCACGGTCAACAGGCAGCACTTGCCCGAACAGTAGAGACCACGACGATCGCCATCTGCTGTTTATCGGAGACCCGCCCGTAAGCTCAGTGCTCACTCTGCGATCACTTCAGATGACACTAGCAGCACTTTCTCATTGCGTCTATCCGGTGACCATGCAATTTCGAGCACATGCCATGCCGGTGTTGGTATTGCCTGAGTCCCCAGGCTGAAGCTGTTCTAGTTGATTGGATTCCAACCAGTAGCAGGATGTTTGTGGTCCGATTGGCTGGATCGTACAAAGCGTCGAAGTCACACGGGACTAACAGGTGTCTATTCATCATCCCTGCCTACGCGTCCACAAACCGTAGCGATGATTTGGTAAAAGACTACATCGATCGGCAATTGAACGAGTTCCTTCGCCACAAAAGAAGCACCGACACTGTTGTGCTGGCGGAGGATCTGAACGCTCAAGTTGGATAGTTGTGCGCTGATGAAATGCATCTGGACGGTCAGCACTGTGTAGGCTCCCGTAATGATAACGGTGAGCGGTTACTTCATTTGTGTGAACGTGCTCGCCTATTTCTTGAGAGTACTAATTTCCGACACAGCACCCGCCGGAGGGTGACTTGGCACTCATCAGCCTCGAACCAGCTATGGACGCAAATCAATCACATTGCAATAACTTACCGTTGGATAAGTTGGGTCCAGAACTGTCGCTCGATTTGGAGCACATGTTTGGACACGACCATGCAGTTGTATGTGTTGACCAGCAGATGTGTTTTGGCCGACGCCCACGAAGTCCTCGTGAGCGCATTGACATCAGCCAACTGGCGAAGCCAGCTGTTTGGAATGCATTTCAAAACACGCTGACATGCGAGCTCAGTAAGAGCATACTGGAGACACTTGAAGGTCACTGGTCGCATGTTCACCAGACCTTACTAGCAGCAGCTAAATCCTCATGTGCTAAGTCTAATCGCCAACATGGACATTGGGTCTCTTCTCGGTCTCTGCCACTTATCGATGCTCGCCGGCATATTCCGTCTGGAAGCGAACACAATGAAACTCGCAAAGAGCTCCGGTCAAAACTCCGTGCTAGCCTGAGGAGAGACCGCGAATCCTGGTGGTCTCATTGTGCATCAGGGATATTAATGGCCGCTGTCCTTGGTAATCAACGAAAGTTAATTCATCTGATACGGGAAACGGGCAGCAGGTGACCTGGTGTTAGTGAAACAATTTGTGATGAGAGTGGACAGTCTATCCACAATTTGTCAACAAGTTTGGAGCGTTGGGCTGAGCATTTTGAAAAGCAATTTAATCGGCTAGAATTATTCGATTCCTCTCCGGCCAGTGATCGCCGTGCTCTGTGGGCTGTCTCTTTGGATCCAACCTCTCGCTTAGAAGTCAAAGGTGAAATCGTACTGTTGAGGTTAAATAAAGCCTCAGGATCAGATGGTCTTCCTTTAGCCCTCTTCAAATTCAGTGGCTCTGCTCTTGTGGATGATTTACACGAGTTACTAGTCAAACTGTGGGAGCAGGAGACTGTCCCAACCGACTGGAGCCTCTCCGTTATTGTTCCCGTCTTCAAAGGAGGCTGACGATCGGAATTCGGCAATCAAAGAGGAATCAATCTGATCTCCATCGTCTCCAAATTATTTGCATTATAATTCTTCACGGACTGACTTTCGCCTGTGAAAGCCAGATTCGTGAGGAGCAAGCCCGGGTTCGTCGGGGTGGTGTTTGCATTGACCACATCAACACTTGGCGTCATTTGTTGGAGAACCGTCACATGTATTGGCTGCCCACCGTAGTGGTGTTCCTCGAAATCAAAGCTGCTTTCGATTAGGTTGATCGATGTGCCCTTTGGGATTTGTTACTCAGGAAAGGCGTGCCCGAGAAATATGTAAATATTATCCGAGCAGAATACGCGCGTAGCACGGGCAGAGTGATGGCTTACGGCAAGCTGTCGTCGCCCTACAATATCTCCGGTGGTGTGAGACAAGGGTGCCCGTTATCACCTTTCCTCTTTAAGTTCATTATTGACGAAGTCATGGAAATCGCGTTCACAGGACAAGACTTAGAATGTGTGGAGCTATTCCCATGAGAATGACTTCTTGACTTGGAGTATGCTGACGATAATTCCCACCTCTGTGACAGCTCCCAGACATGCCAAAATGCAGTGGACAGATTAATGCTGGATGTCAGCCACTTCGGGCATTGCTTTGCACCATCGAATTGCAAAGCTTTCCTCCAAGATTGGCTGGGACCGCCTCCTTCACTGACCCTTGGTGGGAATCAACTGGAAGTTGTTCCGGAATTTAACTACCTGGCATCTTGTATCAGCGCCCTTAGGATCGAAGACGAGATCATGAAGCGTATAGCAAAAGCTCGAGGTGCTTTTGCTAGTCTTCACCACCTATGGTGCCGGCGCGACATTACTCTCGCCCTGAAGTGTAGAGTGTACAATGCAGCGGTACGTTCGCCCTTACTGTACGTTTTCGAAACCTGGCCCCTTAGATCAGCGGACATGAAGAGGCTAGCTACGCAATTTGGCTTACATCTGGTGTGAACACCGTGTGAGCAACGAGCGGGTTCTACGCCTTGTTTACGGCAAAGGAAAAGGAAATGAACTGCTCAGCGTCGTCATTTCACGCACCAGGCTCCGGCGGCTGAGCCAGGTGTTGCGCATGCCAGCCCACCGACTCGCGCGACGTGCGTTGTTTGTTCACCAGGGATGGGGATGGAAGAAGAGGAGGGGTGTCCAAGCACTGAATTGGTCGAGAGGAATGAAGTCCCTCACTTCGGAACTAGCCTCGGTTGGAGCTTCACTTCTCCCTGGTTGGGTTCCGGAAGACAGTGAACACGTTTGGCTGGATGCACTTGTTGATATGGCTAGGAGCCGACCACAGTGTCATTCCTGCTGTGAGTTTCTTTGTCCCTCCTCATCCCTTTTAGCCTCCCCTTCAACTACGATCGCATTACGTAGCAAAAGATAATTTTACATCATAACGTTTCTTGTTGCCTAGTAGCCGGCTGCTAGTTTTCCGGAACGATTCCCATCCGTTGCAGCGGGCTCAGCTGGCATGCAACTTTTTTATTTCTTTTCTTTTTTCTTTTGTGTATTGCGGCACAGTAGCTGAGGGGCTTTACGCCTCTAGCTAACGTGCATAATAATAATAATAAGATTACCACTCAACAAATCTTCAATGTCTCAACAGTGCGAGAGATCGGTGGTGCGGAGATACAGAGCGATGGTACACGATAGTGTTTCACAAATTATGTCGTCCAACATAGGTTTAGTGCAATTTCGCTACAACAGGCTCTGGCTAATGGAGGTAGGTTAGCATGCTAGGAAGAAACGCTGAGGAAAAGGTGTATCTTTTTTATATAATGACATTTATAGGTCTGCTTTCGTCACTTGGCAGTCATATTTACTGCACTTTGATGTT